TCCATTCTATTATTTGCTGCTCCTAGTCACCTTTCAGGAGACACAGAGGTAAGATGATCTGGGCTGGTGGTGCTCCCATTATTAAGCATCCACACTTTGCATCCATTGAATCATTTAAACCACACTACACCATTGACAGGTGAGAAAGGTGTGGCTGATAGACATTAAATAACTTGCCTGGAATAATGGATAGAATAGAGATTCAAACCCACGATTGTTAGGCACAAAGTTCTTGTTTCTTTCTACTGCTGAGTGGTACCATCTGCTTCCTCGGTGTGCCACGGCAGGCTGAATGGTCTTGTTCATCATATCGAAAAAGATGAGGAGGAAAAATAACTCTGCGATCTGTATTTGGCATTATTGAAGTTGCTTGAAATAAATTCATGAGTGAGAAGTTCAAAGGGAGAGAGGAAAAGGATGAAGTAGAAGAGGTGCTTTATTAGGATTATTTTTTAAAGTTTAATCACATTGAATAAACCTAGAATTAACAAATGGTGTTTGGAGCATCGTTTGCTTGAGATTCCCACAATGCATTTCGATCTCTAAGAAGAGAGGCTTATTAAACAGGAAGATTATCTGCTTATTTGGAATGACAAATCTATCCTTATAATCATGGCTACAGATACTTGGGAGCCTGATCATAAACACATTTTCATAATCCTTGCAAAGATTAATGAATGATAATTACTTCATTCAATGGCAAAAGCCTTGGTTTGGAGCATGCGTCATAGTAACAATCTCTGCTATTCACATTCTAAAATGAATCTACATAATGTATTACTTATAAACCCTACTCTTTTATTCCTCCCTTCAGCTTCACGAGTAGACTGTCTCCATTTTATAGTATAAAGTAATTCAGCTGTTTCATGACTGTCAGTTACTGCTTTCAAAATCACACTTTGGGTTTCAGTTCTCTGGTGAGCTAGGTCCATTACTTATTTGTTGACACCGTGGCTGCAGGAGCCTTTGTTTTCTTCAAGTTAAGTGAACTACCATTTCAATATTGAAGTCTTGGGAGCACCGAAGAACAGTTCTAAAATTACACAGTTGATGCTTTTAATTGCAACGTAGGGTCTGGAGACCATCGCTGAGTTGCAAATTAATAAAATCTTTCTGAAGTGAAAAGGTCATATTCAAAGAGTCTGCAGATTTAAGCTGTAAAAACCTGAGAAGGCATCTACATTTGTATGGGAAAAAATTTACCCGAATGCAGCCCTGCTTATTACTGAGGAATGAAAATAAGTATTCTGAGCACCCAGAACAAGGTTAGCCACAGGAGAGCCAGGAGGTGGAAGGTGTCCAGCGGAAATGTGGGGGAGGGACCACATGCCACATTTGTCCCATTTCTTTCCTCTTTGCTCCAAAGTGAGTGAGACAGGAGAGCTTCTTTTAGGGAAAACTGAACAAATTCCTCTAACCTCATTTCTCAGCATAAATGCCACAAAAATGTTTCTACTTCTAGGAAAGCAGAGGCCAGGGTTTCCTGGTCAACTCCTCAATCCCTTTACAATTCTCTTTTCTCTTAGCCACAAAGTCACATCCTTTCCTGGAAGTAAAACTCACTCCTACAGATTTTTACAAAAGATATTGTTCAAGCTATTTGTGCAGAACAGGTTCTTACAGTTCCTTTTCTACTGCTCAATAGCCTCGTTTCCCAGCCTGAATTTCAGCTGTCATCTCATTTCAGGTTCTTGGCCCACAGTCCCTATACTTTTTCATTGTTTCTCCCTCTTCTTGTTTTTTTCACTTTTCCATGGTGGTTTGATTCATCATTTCTGTTCCAGAGAGACTCAGTGCATTGGGCTCATGAATCTTCATTCTTTCTTTTTTCTTTTTACAAGGCCCCAGAAATACTTCCTTTCTAACAACGCTTTGCTCATATGGTCTGTTTCTATGATCTTTAGCCCTCTGACTCCCAAATCTTTCATTTTTGGAAAGTCAGGACTTTTGGATCTCCATGTATCCTTTGGCAAGGGTGGTTATTTCAGCTCTCCACCAGAGACTATGTCTTCATCTCTCAACATTCCTAAGAAGCAGACAGAATTCTCCAGCCTCTCGACAGACATTTTTGTACCTCAAAAAGCAACAGAGCCTAGGCTTTTAGCATAATCGCTTTTCATCTCGGTTTCCCCATTTTTATTCTAAAACAGACACCAGCCCTTGGCCTCATCAGCGTATTCAGACTCTGTTCCAGCACTTCGTCAACTTTGAGCCAAAATACATCTTCTTCACTGTCTTCCGTAAGAAATTCAAGTATATTTGCTGAATATCTGTAAGGTTACAGGACAAGGTTCCCTCACACAGCACATAGGATTTCTTTTGGAAAATCTGTTTGTTTTTGTTTGTTTGTTTGTTTGTTTTTGAGATGGAATTTTGCTCTTGTTGCTCAGGCTGGAGTGCAATGGCATGATCTCAGCTCACCGAAACCCCCATCTCCCGGGTTCAAGCGATTCTCCTGCCTCAGCCTCCCGAGTAGCTGGGATTACAGGCATATGCCACCATGCCCGTGGTAGTTTTGTATTTTTAGTAGAGACAGGGTTTCTCCATGTTGGTCAGGCTGGTCTCAAACTCCCGACCTCAGTTGATTAGCCCGTCTCAGCCTCACAAAGTGCTGGGATTACAGGCGAGAGGAAAATCTTTATTAGTCTTGCCTTTTCTTCTGTTTCCTCCTCCCCTCCTACACCTTAGCCAGGGGTTCTGTTTTTCTGCTGACACGTCTCCCAGTCTCCCATGCAGAGCTCCATTCTTCCCCATTTTCTTGACAGCCGCTGTTTCCTCTTTATTATGCAAAGCGGCTCCCTCTGCTCCTCTGAAGGAAATCTAGTGCCCAGCCCAGTACCCTGTCGTGGAGGCTGATTCTTCTCGATTTGGATGAGTGGGCTTATCCGACAGCTTCCTCTTCACAGAAGAATCCTCTGACCAGCTGCTATGAACAAAAAGATAAACGTTTCTCCATATCATTACTCATAACATGGGGTTATTAATACTTCATAGGTTTGCGGAGAGGATGAAAGGAAATAATGAACGTAGAGGATTTAGCACAGCGTCGTTTATCGTCATCATCTCTGAATGCAATCGGATTGTGCAGTGTTTATCTTTGCTCTCTCTGGATCTCTGTGGTTACCTCCATCACAACACTTAAGGCTGAGTTGTCTGAGGATGCTCCTGGCTTTGAGCTCCCCGTGGGCAAGCGCTTTATCTTATTCATCCTGTCTCCAGCACCTGCTACCATATCCAGTGCAGAGTGATGCGTGATAAATGTGTGTTGAACAATGGAATCATTTGGCCTGGGGATCTTCTGGTATATTCTGAAAGAGCATTTTATATAGAGGAAAAGGCAGATCTTGGGAGAAATTAAAACTAAGGTCCAGGACCACTGCTGACACCTATTCATATTCAGTTTTTTTTGTTACTGGAGAGCAGCCAATGCACTGAAAGCGCTTTGCAGGGAGGTTCAGGGCGGGCCTGTGCGCTCTCATTTTTTTGCATCTCCAGTGTCCAACACTGTGATGGGCACAACACTGTGATGGGAGGAGGAAGAGTCTCCGTGGCTTCCTGGGATCAGATTTTGTAGGATTCCTTCTCTGTATACTCTGCTTCTCTCAAGCCCGAGAAGAGCGTGTGTGTGGGAAGAGCTGGGTTACAACATGGAAGCATCTCAGGAATACGCTCATAATTTTATATCCTATCAATCCAATGTTCATTAAACATTTGCTTATCAGAGGCTGAAAACCTATCTCATGGGGGAAAGGATGCTGAGTGAAGAGTTCGGGTCTACTTACTGCTCTAAGTAATTCATAATTGCATCCCCCGCCTCGCCCGCCAAAGTTGTGTACCTAACTTAGAAGAAAGAAATCTCTGTATTAACACAATCACCCTTCTTAGAAAGCAGCTCATTAATGTACCATCTCATGTTACTTGAACATGTTCCTGGGGCAGGTGAGGGGTTTATTCCAACCCTAAGTGGTGTTTAAAAATATTTTTTCCAACAACATAGAAAAGAACCCTGAAAAGAGTTCTTATAAATACATGTTTTTCCATTTCATTAAATTTCTAATGATGTCTTTTGCAAAGGCATAAGAATGATACAATGGACTTTGGGGAAGGATGGGAGAGGGGCAAGGGATAAAAGGCTACAAATAGGATGCAGTGTATAAAGCTCAGGTAATGGGTTACACCCAAATCTCACAAATCACCACTAAAGAACTTACTCATGTAACCAAACACCACCCGTGCTCCAATAACCTATGGAAAAAAAGTAAATTTCCACTGATGTCTTAGTATCCATGATTGATTGACACCCCAGCTGGTATCACCTTAATATTGCTCTGCATTTAGCTCTATCATATCACCAATTAATAAACACAAAATTCACTCCTCCTTTCATTCTGTCCTCCTGGTATTTCCATAGGGTGTTGATTGCAAAATAAACTGGCCTTATATCAGATCTTGTAGCTTGGGAGATTCTTGAATTCTGGCCTAAAAAAGTATCTTATAAATGTGTAATTCCACTTATTGCATAGGAAGATGTAATGTGAATCTTGATATGATTTACTATTAACTTTGATGACTACAAGTTATTGGTATGTAGTATTTGTTTTATTATTCTAGCAACTGGTATCTGTTAACCATGAGATTCTGAAATGCTCCTCCAGGTTTTATGTCTCTGGTCAGGAGTTTCTAGAATTACATTCTGCACCATTCTCCACTAAAGTAGTCCTGGTAACTATGGTCTGACTGACTGGATAGATACATGAATACATGAATACAGCACTATCTGGTTTATAAAGAAAATCTTTCTTTTGTTTGGGCTGTCATGCCTTGAGCTGCTGCTGAAATGTACATAACTATAAAATGTATAAAATGGGAATAATGGTTTCTACCATGTTTCTTTCTTTGTCTTTTTTTTTTTTTTTCCGAGACAGAGTTTCGTTCTTGTCACCCAGGCTGGAGTACAATGGAGTGATCTCAGCTCACTGCGACCTCCGCCTCCCAGGTTCAAGCGATTCTTCTACCTTAGCCTCTCCAGTAGCTGGGACTACAGGTATGCGCCACTATGCCCAGCTAATTTTTTGTATTTTTGGTAGAGAAGGGGTTTTACCATGTTGTCCAGGGTGGTCTCAAACTCCTGACCTCAGGCGATCCACCCGCCTCAGCCTCCCAAAGTGCTGGGATAACAAGAGTAAGCCACCATGCCTGGCCCCATGTTTTTTTATAGAGTGAAATCACTTAATAACCAATCTCATTCTGGGATGTAGAGCTCAAAACTTTGGTCCTGAAAATGACCTCAGACATCTATTCCAATCACTTCCTTTTATAGATGAAAAACCCGAGGACAGATATTAAAAGACTTGCCTGGGGTTACTGTTCATAAAGTAAGAATCTATTTTTATTTGCCTGTACGGGTGGCTGTTGCTGTTACTATTGCCACTATCAGCATTTTGTCAGGTTTCCTCCAGTTGCAGCACATCTAAAGACTCTACCCATTTGGTGTAGTTTATGTTACCCCAAGCCTCACGCCAATCTCTGTGTGATTAAGCTTGCCATGGAGGCAAGGAAAGTTAATAAAATCCAATCCCTTGTAGAAAATTAGCAAACTGATGAACTCACCGGCCGTAGGGGTATTCTTATATCCAGATGGACACCTGACAGAGTCACATCAAATTTTCATGGAGGCAATTAGTTCCCTGTACTTAGGACCATTAAATTTTATACTAACAATTAAACTCCAGTCTACAACATTAAAATGCGATTAGCCCTTCACTAATAATGCATAAGAAACATCAAGGTGATCATGAGAGAGGAGTGAGGAGATCTGAAGTGCAAGAAGATTCATCTTCAGACTGTTTATTCTGCAATAGTCACCACTGGATGAGATGGCAAAATGTCACTGGTTAGACACATTGGCCATTTCTTTTGTTGATATGAGTGGGGAGTTACATATCTCGTATCTTTGACTTACATCAATAAATTTTTAAAAATATGATGTGCTGTTCTGGTTTAGATAGCAGTCAAAAAGGACTTTTCAAACAGTGTTTCAAAAAGTTGAAACAACTAGGATTACTGAGCTTGAAGAAGAGATAGTTGAAGGGTATTTGAGAGTTTTCTGCGACATGCCTGGTTTTTCTAGTTAAGGCAGTGGTAAGCTATACCCTACCTCTACTAAAGCCAGAACAGATTGAAACTAAAATTTTAATGGGTCTTGGATTTTAAATTAATTAACATTAATTTGAGGGCAATGTTATCCAGAATTCTTGGTCAAAAAGGGGAGAAACTCAACTTAAAATTCATCAAGTGAGAAAATAATTAATTCTTTTTTTTTAAGATGGATTTTCACTCTTGTCACCCCAGGCTGGAGTGCAATGGTGCAATCTTGGCTCACTGCAACCTCCGCCTCCTGGGTTCAAGTGATTCTCCTGCCTCAGTCTCCTGAGTAGCTGGGATTACAGGCATGCATTACCACGTCCGGCTAATTTTTGTATTTTTAGTAGAGATGGGGTTTTGCCATGTTGGCCAGGCTGGTCTTGAACTCCTGACCTCAGGTGATCCACCTGCCTAAGCCTCCCAAAGTGCTGGGATTACAGGCATGAGCCACTGTGCCCAGCCTGTTTTTTTGTTTTTGTTTTTTTTTGTTTTTTTTTTTTTTTATTTCACTGAGAAGATTGCCAGTTATCAACTTCAAAGAAGGTTTGATTCAGGTGCTCATAAATATATTCACCATAAGCATCTATATGCACCAGCCATTGTGCTGGATATTTACACATAGATTAATTTAGTCCCTATGATAACTTAAGGGTAGGTATTATACCCCAGATTTAGAGATACTGAAATTGAGCCTTAGAAAAGTTATCATGCTCCGAGTTAAATAATAAGTAAACACTGGGGACAAAATAGGTTAATTTTTAATATGACACAGTATAAAAAAGAATTTTCAGACAACAAGGAGAATGAAACTTCAGAAAAGGTTAAAGAAGCTTCCTCCAGGGGACTTTGTATCAGTCAGGCCCATTCGGGAAAATAAACCACACCAGTTATTTTAAGAGAGAATTTAATAAAAGAAATATATTAAACATATTTAAATAGTTAAAGGCAAAGGGGACACAGAAGTCACATAGGTGACTCTGGAGCTGGGAGGACAGAGGTAACGGGTTGAGGTTCATAGAATAAAGAAAATGTGGCACATATACACCATGGTATACTATGCAGTCATAAGAAAGGATGAGTTCGTGTCCTTTGGAGGGACATGGATGACACTGGAAACCATCATTCTCAGCAAACTATCACAAGAACAGAAAACCAGACACCGCATGTTCTCACTCATAAGTGGGAGTTGAACAATGAGAACACAGGGACACAGCAAGGGGAACATCACACACCGGGGCTTGTTGGGGGTTGGGGAGCTAGGGGAGGGTAGCATTAGAGGAAATACCTAATGCAGATGACGGGTTGATGGATGCAGCACACCACCATGGCACTGTATACCTATGTAACAAACCTGCATGTCCTGCACGTGTACCCCAGAACTTAAATTTTATATATACATAAAGAATCTACAATTTAGGAGAAGGGGCCCCAGACAGCTGGCTGGTCCTGGTATCTCAGAGGGAGTACAATAAGGCTGGTTCTGGGAGTGTGGGAAACACTTGAAATTGGAACCAAGTACTGCTGCAGGAACAGAAAGTAGGCAGGAAGGAAGCAGAAGGCCCCTTGCAGTCTCCCAGTTTCCTCCTAGCACCTCTGGTTGGCAGAGCCTAACAGGGTGCTGGCTGGCAAAGCAGAGATGTCCTTTGCAGGCTCCCAGTCACATCGCAAAGCAGAGTATAGCAGGGTGGGTGGGGAGCTGGGAGACAATAGCTTAATTACCAACACTGCCTTTGAAAGTGGGAAGCTCTTAACTTTCAGAGTTCATAGCAAGACTGCTCACATATAAAATTAGCAAGATGGTTAAATGCTTTAATTTAAACAATCCTAGGAGCTTTTTATTTTCTGAATTTAACCTTACTTTTCTAGGTTTGAGGAATTTGCATAATTAAAGTCAGCCTTTCTATGGGCAGATGATTACCAGGCCTCTCCTCAGTCCTATCCCAGATAACATCAAGCCTGAAATGTTCACACCATCTGCAATTCATTTCCATTCTGTAATTTATCCAAGTATTGCTGGGAGTTGATGTGAAAAGATCAAAGGCCATGAAGTCAGAAAGGTGTGGATTCGATCTTACTTCTGCCACTTTGTGGCTTAACCTTGGGTGAGTTAGTCTTAATTTCCTCATTATTTAAATGGACATGAATATTAATGTCTATATCATGGGGTTTTTATAAGGCTTACAAGATATAACATATAGAAAGCAACTGGAATACTGTCTGGCACTGCACTGATACTTAAAAACAAATTCTATCTCCCTTTCATTCAGCCCTTCTACTTGAGATTAAACCATGAGTTTCAGATAGATCATCCTCCTGAATACAGAATCTCACTTGTGCAATGGCAGCAAAGATTGGACAGACATTAATGTCCCCCTAATTATTTCTAACAGCTTTCCCTTAAAGCTCCTCTAAGCAATCAAATGATCTAAGCAGCCGTAATCACAGCTTCAAAACAAGTTTTATATTTTCTTCTTTCAATTAGATTGCCATCCCTGGACTCCCTCCCATGGAGAAAGTCTGGACCCAAAGACTGGATGTTGTCTTCTTCTTACTCTCCTGAACTAACCCAAGATTTATTTATTGAAAATCAGGGTAGGGGGCCAAAGACCCATCATCAAATATGCAGGGTAGGTTTCGGTGAACTGTGTATTCTAAGCATGCACTTCCAACATTTCGGAGATGCTATTTCTGAACTAATGGAAACATTCTCTCCTTGGGAAGTATGGGTTAGGGGTAATGCTGGTAAAGTATCTTCTGGGCCATTTTATAATGAAATGATAACTGGATAAATAGTCACAGATGTAGATAAATTGTAGCACCTGCCTCAAAATATACTCTCCAGGGTGAGAGAGAGAGAGAGAGAGAGAAAGAGAGAGAGAGAGAGAGAGACATAGATGACTGATTTATTTTCAGGAACTAATGTTTTCCTCATCAGAGAGTATAAACTTACTGAGCATCTCCTGTGCCCTACTGTACTAATCAGGGTTCTCCAGGGAACAGAATCAACAAGGTATATATAGATATTTAAGAGGGGACTTATGGTAGGAATTGGCTCATACTACTATGGAGGCTGAGAAGTCCCGCCATGTGCTGTCTGCAAGCTGGAGAACCAGGGAAGCTGGTGGAGTAATTCTTTCTGGGTCAAAAAGCCTGAGAATCAGGGAGCTGATAGATAGTATAGCTCTCAGTCCAAAGCCAAAAGCTTGAGAACAGTGTGGGGAGGGTAAAGGGAGTGAGCCTGGAGCTCTGATGTCCAAGGGCAGAAGATGGATGTTCCAGCTTCAGGAAAGAGAGTGAATTCACCTTTCCTCTGCTTTTTCATTCTATTTGGGTTCTCATCACCTCAACTGATGGAACCCATCCATACTGGTGAGGATGGATCTTCTTTACTCAGTGTACCAACTTAAATGCTAATATCTTCCAGAAACACCCTCATAGATACACCTAGAAATAATGTTTTACAAGCTCTCTGGGTATCCCTTAGTTAAGTTGACATCAATGGAACCATCACATCTGGCTTTTACTAAACCAGGAAAGATTCAATATATATCCTTAGAGGGTTTTCATGAATACAGTCTGGGATGGGAGAGCACTGTTCCCTGCAGGACTCCCTGTGGAACAAGGTTTTACCTATGCTACCATCATGCCTTTCCCAACTAGAAAACATCATGGTGCTAAATGCATTTGGCTTTAGTATCTGTATAGGCCTTTTCCCACATAAGAGTTAATAACCTGTGAAAACTCAAATCTAAAAGCAAAATTGTCTTTAATTCACATGAGGGCACAAGAGCAGGGCAGCTCTGTAGCTTTCCTCTTTTTTAGACAACATGTTTCCTTTTTCTCTTTTCTGTTTATTTCTCCCCAATTTTTAATCTTTTCTTTGAATCAAACTGCTTCTTGCACTGCAAACTCAGTATGTTGCTTCCCAGCTTCAATTGAATTTTTACAGCAAGTCATAAACCCTTGAAAATAGGATTTATAATGGAAACACTGATACAGCCCTAGCTAGCATGGCCAGATAGGTGTTCTAATAATACTGGATAGTAATATTCTCCAAATCTAATACTCTATAGATTTTTTTTCTTGCTGTGATTTATACTGACCCAATTCTTTCTCTAACCTTTTCATTGCCAAAGTCTGTGGTCTGCCATGTTCATAATTGACAAAGTCAAATGCCCTTTGGGCATGTCTGGATCACATTCATCTCTGGCAAAATATGACACAGTTAACTCCTATAGGCACAGACCTGGGTGGGGGAGTCCTGGATGGAGACAAGTTCCCTGGAATGAGACAGGCTTGGGTGAGTGGGGAGGTAGGGGGCATAGCTGCCTGTGGGTTCTGGGGCAAGACTAGTCCAGTAGACAGAACCTAGTGGAAGGGAGAGTTTCCAGGTAAGCAGACAGGCTGTCCCCTGACGGTGTGCAGAACACACTGGTGGGGAGGCCAGGAAGCATTCACAGACACTAGGCAGGTAGTTCTCTTCAAAGGAGTCTGGTGGCAGGTAACAGAGTTTCAGTCCTCAGCTGTGGTTCCTGGAGGGTTATGGTACAATTAAGGATATATAAATTTGGTCTTTGCCTTCAGTTCCTGGCATAGAGCTTTAGAAATTAGAATTTCCTAACTGATTGGACTGTCTTTTGTCATTATTATTATTATTATTATTTTGAAATGGCTGTTGCCCAAGGTGGAGTGTAGTGGCATGATCTCAGCTCACTGCAACCTCTGCCTCCCTAAGCGATTCTCTTGCCTCAGCCTCCTGAGTAGCTGGGATTACAGGTGTGTGCCATCATGCCTGGCTAATTTTTGTATTTTTAGTAGAGACAGGGTTTCACCATGTTGGCCAGGCTGGTCTCGGACTGCTGACCTCAGGTGATCTGCCTGCCTTGGCCTCCCAAAGTGCTGGGATTACAAGTGTGAGCCACAGTACCCGGCCAGCCTTTTGTTATTCTTAAGGAACCCCTTTTTGCCATATCTGAGTTTATGCTAATGAGAAGACTCAAGGTGGCACCTCAGATAGTTTCAAGGGAGGGGCTGGCCACAAATTGTAATTAGAGGATTGGAATTTTCAGCCTCACTCTTCAACCTCTAGGGAGGAAAGGGGGGCTGGAGATTAAGTTTAATCATCAGTGACATGGTTCAATCAATCATGTCAGCATAAGGAAGGCTTTATAAAAAATCGTTTGAACAACAAGGCTAGGGGGGATCTTCTTGGTTTATGAACACACTGATATGTTGGGGGAGTGGTGCACCTGCCAAGGGCGTGGAAGCTCTGCACGTTCCCTTCATAATCCATACCTTTCCTTATGTGTCTCTTCCATTTGGTTGTTTCTGAGTTGTAGCTTTTATAAGAAAACTGAAATAATAAGTATAGAGTTTTCCCGAGTTCTCTGAGTCGTTTTAGCAAATCATTGGACCTGAGGACAGGTCATGGGAACCCTGAAACTTGTAATTAACTGGTCCGAGGCAGGTATCTTGGGGACTCCTTTTGCAGCTGGCATCTCGTGGAACAGAGACTTGTGGAGTTTGCACCAACTCTAGATGGTCAGTGTCAGAAATGACTTGGACACTCATTTGCTGTCAGAAAATTAGAGAATTGGTTGTTTGGAAAACAATATAAGCGTCAAGGAGAAGAGTGGCAAGAATAAGGCAGGGTCCAAATTTCTTAAAGAGGAAGACCTAGAATTAAGTGCTAGATGTGCTGTTTACTAGATGTGAGGTGGCAGGAAATTTATGTTTTCCAATCTGTAAAATGGATATAACATATTTGTTAATGGGTTGTATTTTTTCTTTTTCATGATTGGCATGTAATACATAATCAAAAATACTTGTGCAATGAATGAGTTAAGGATGATGTAAGTAATAAATAATTTACAACAGGGACTCTGGCCCAGGAATAAGTAATGAACTTAGCTGTGTATTTAGAGCACGTAATCAAGGCTGGAGCCACAAGGAAAGGTATCTTGGTACTATGTGTATATATACAGAGCCATACAAATAATTCCTTTACTACCTACCCCTGAGATCAAGGTTGGGTCTAGATTCTTTGAAGCCCGTAGGCAAACCTTAGGCGACCCCAATTATGGGGAAAGGTTGTTGAAGCTGGGACATGGGAAAGGTCTGGCTTATACAGCGTAGCAGAGAACTAGAGCATGCAGGCTGTGTCCTCAGACTTCCTGGGTTCTAATTCTGCTATGGTTTGCATGTGTTCCTTCCAAAACTCAGGTGTTGAAACTTAATGGCTGATTTGATGATTTTAACAGGTGGGGCCTTTAAGAGGTAAGAGACACGAGGGCTCCTTCCAGGTGAATGAGATTAAGGCTTCTACAAAGAACATTCACGGGCTGTTCGGTTCACTTACCCTTTGCCTTCTGTAAGGACACGGAGTTCCTTCCCTCCAGAGGACACAGCAACAAGGCTCTGTGTTTCAAGCAGACAGCAGCCTTCACCGCACGCCAAACTTGCTGGTGCCTTGATTTTGAACTTTCCAGCCTCCAGAACTGTAAGATACATTTCTGTTCTTTATACATCACCCAGCTTCAGGTATTTTGTTATGGCAGCAAAAATAGACTAAGACAAATCCCAATTCTACTTATTAGCTGTGTGAAAGAGGGAGAATTAATTTCTCTGGCTTCTAGTGTTATTTCTGTAAAGTGGAGTTAAGGCAGTACTGACCTGATAGGGTTATTGTGAGAATAACTTGAGAAGGTACCAGGCATGCACCTGAAATACATAGGAATTGATCAATATGTGTTATCTGTTTTTTTGCTGTCTGTTATTCTTTGTGACAGAGCTTATTCAATGAATTAGAGTCATGCTGTCACAAAAAAAACGCAGGGATGGGAATTTCATGAGCATCCTTAGCAACTCCCAGGAAAACAAGAGCCCAGGAAGGGAGATGGAAAGAGCAGATATCTTCCTGGAGCAGCTTGAATTCATCCCAGGCTGAATGGAAACTTAAAAGGTAAGGCCTGAGACGCTCAAAAGGGCTTCTCATTGTTCATGTCTTCTCAGAACCTGAAAGCACAGTGTCTTTCTGCTCTGGCTTGGTCCATATTCCACTTGGCAAGCTGCAGTAGACCCTGCCCCTAGGTTGAAGTGCTGGTGAAGAAGAGTAGACAGAGCTTTGCTAACTCCTGCTTGAACATGATGGGTGGAGGGGTTGCCACAATGCCTGGTGGGGTGAGGTGAGATAAAACTTCTGCCTTTTGATTGCCTGCCTTTTGAGAGGCTCAGAGAGGTCTCACTGTGCACAGAAAAGGGGAACAACAAATTGCTTCAGCTCAAAAGATGCTTACAGATTGATGGATAGTAGATTGGTTTAATTTTATACATGCAGTTTTGTGCCTGATGTATAATGAAAGACACTGAGGGTGAACTTTACAAAGAAATTCTATAGGAGACTATGTCAGAAGTGGTTGTCTGATTTCCTTCTTATGTTTGCCTTTGCAAAGACTCTTGCCCTCATCAAATAAGAGCAATGGTAAGTTTTGTATAGGCATGAGAAAAATGTGGAAAGAATGACAGAGTCTTACATAGAATGCAGTGTTAGAGCTGGACTAATCTTACATAGAATGCAGTGTTAGAGCTGGACTAATCTTACATAGAATGCAGTGTTAGAGCTGGACTAATCTTACATAGAATGCAGTGTTAGGCTGGACTAATCTTACATAGAATGCAGTGTTAAGAGCTAGAGCTGGACTAATCTTACATAGAATGCAGTGTTAGAGCTGGACTATCTACAGATAGTATCAAGTCTGATCCCCAATTCTTTAGGTAAACAGCCTGAGGCCAGAGAGAAGCGGCTTGCCTAAGGTCACCTGGCTAATTAGTACTAGTTTACAGCATAGTTGGGGAAGTTGACCTGTTGACACAGTTGTCTTTCTATAAACTGCTAATGACAATTTTGCTGCATTGTTTTTGAACACAATGTAAAACATCACAGATGTTCTTCTATGGACAGAGAATAGTCAATTGGAGGAGTGCAGTAGGACACCCAGGTCCCAGATGGGAGCTCAGTGGCCTCCTGGAGAAGAGGGAGGTGCTGTAGAACTCTCTGGAGGGAGGGCTGTGTCAGATACATATTAGGGTGCGTCAGTTTCCTCTAACTGGGGTCTTCTCCTACTGTAGTCCTTTCTAGGATTCAGTGGAAAAACACTTTTTCCCCCTGCTGGTCTTTGGCTCTTATTATTTGATTCTCTTTAAAAGCTTTAGGTAAGCAAGGCCAGCAGTTGAAGGCTGGATGTTTTTGCCCTTGTTCAGCCTGAAGGCTGTGTGCAGTTCTGGCAGTTAACCTCATAAATGAAGGCTTTTCAAGAAAACCATGCCAGTTTTTGTCCAACTTGGCAATTCTTGTGATTTAATATTTTCTCAGGGAGGCTTCATTTTGTACAGAATGAGAGAGATTGAGACCCAGGAGCACTCAATTTCTCCTCCTTTTAGTGATTTATTTTGGCCTTCAAAGGACAGGGGCTGTTGCATGTGGCTGCCCAGGTTGTGCACTGCACAACTCCAGGGTTATGACCCTCAGATGTGAATGGAGTCTGAGATGCTGCCATTTTAGCAGCTTCTGAGCCTTACCAGTGTAGAGGATACCATACCTGCCTCTGCTGTTTTTGGGGTTTTAGCTGTAGCTCTTCCCTCCTCTCCCACAGCCTCATGCTGTTTTCTGGCTTCCAGGGGACCCCAAACCTGGGTTCACCTATTCTGGGTAGCACTCATGAGCCATGCTCGCCTTTACTCCTTTGTCCTGTCCAAATGCTCTTGTTCTGGATGTGGCATACCTACTAGGAGGATAGGCTTTTGTAAGGGCACATCTGGAGACCAATGACAACCTGAAAAAAAAATTGTATAAGCACTTTGGGAACAGAGGGACTTTTGGAGGAAATCCTCAAGCTATCCAAATTAGGATCACCATCCCTGCTCCCTCTCCTTAGTGAGCTTTAGTCGGGAGAAGGATAGTTGCCCAATTAGTCCCCAAACACACCTTTCTGTTTTTGCATCCTCCCACTTGAGAACAGGGCTTCTCCTTTAGTTATCCTGGACACCACCTAATTCTGGGTTACGGCCCTGCTTCTTTCTCATGAAACTTGGATACAAACCTTTTCCCTTCCCTCCAGGACAGCTGAGAAAGGATGACTTTTTCAAAACAAACTTTCATGGTGCTTGTGTTGGTAGGTAATGCAAGACACAGGCACCTTCCAATTTTTCGTTTGTTTTTTTCTTAAAAATTGTATAAGCATGCAAAAGAACAAGAATCCAGGAGTAAAGAGGACTAAACAGTTGGTCAAGAGAAACAGTTATCTAGAAAATATCGGCTAAAAGATACAACAAAAAGGAACTTCCAGTTAAGTATTCGGCTTCTGTGTCCAGAGAGGAGGTGCCATGAGTATGTAGCTATAATTGAAGGAAGAAAATTTGTTTGGAAAGAAAGGATTTTTCTACAATTCCAGTGGCAAAAAGTATATCTAAGGGGTAGATTTTTGAAAATAATGTGATTTTTTTTTTCTTTTTTTTTCTTTCTGACTGTGACTTTCTCCTCACTCAGCTAAGGATGTCCATCTATCTGTAGGTATGCTAGGATTGTCATACGGGAATGCAAAGATGTACAGGAATGTACAGAGTAATGTTCAGCTTCTGATACATGAAATATTTAATAGGATGCAGTAAAACCAGGCATTTTAGTTTCAGAAAAGATTTATGAAATGAAGCTAGGTTCTATTTAACAAATCAAGGGCTAAGCCTGTAAGATCCATAGCTTAAAGTTCTCCTCATATGTAAGAGAAAGAGAGCACCCTTATTCAAGAGGATTTAAAGCATAGGGGTTTTTCACGGTGTAGAAAACATCCCTTTGTTTGCAATGAGTTAGCCACAGGTTGGAGGGGAAGAATGACCTGTGGCACTGCTTCTCAGTGTTGTCCCCAGACCAGCAGTATCAGTATGGCTTGGGAACTTGTTAGAAATGCAAATTCCCTGGTTTCACATCGGACTTACTAGAGCAGAAACCCTGGAGATAGGGCTCAGCAATCTATTTTTTTTTTTTTTTCTTTTTAACAAGTCCTTTTGGGTGATTCTGATGCGCACTGAACTTTGAAAAGCACTAGTGAAAACCTCATCCCTTGCAGTGCAGGGCATATGGGAGGATGGGGGAGAGGTAGAGTAGGAAAGAGGTACGATCGCTGTATGTCCCTATTTTTCTCTTCTCTGAGCTTAAACCAAGAAGGGGATGAGTTTTAGAGGAGTGAGGGCAACCCAGAGGAAGGGTTGGAACCTGTGTTCCTTAGTTGGAACTCATCCATTCAGCTGGACTATACCAGCTGAAGATGTCACCAAACCTAAAAAGAATTTGGTGTTGCTGTATGGTCAGGCTGAGAAGCTTTGAATTTTCAGTTTGTCTAAGCCTCCCTTAAGTCCCTTGTGGTATAGACAAGTCTCAGACTTAGCTGAGGGTCCAGCTAGGGAATTTATCCATAGGAGTGACTTTATCAAAGGGAATAGTGGTTTTGAGAAAAGGTTGCAGAGCATATTTTCCGGGTTGAGGCAGATGGGAGGAGCAGTCAGATCTTCAAGGCTTCTCTAGCCTCAGGGAGGGCTGAGGGGTTCTCTACTTAATCAGGTTGGTACAGGGCTCTTGCCAAGCAGAAAGAAGAAGACACCAGCCATAGGGTGGACAAGTGATGTTGCCCCGGTGTCCAGTAGAGCCAGAGGACACTGTCCTCCCCTTAATCAAACACTGCTATGAACCACATACTTTATTCCATGTAATAAAGTGACATTTTATGGGGGAGGAAGAGCTAGTGAACACTTTAATTTTCCCCACAGACAGAGCCTACCTAAAAGAAGTATTCAAATTATCTGTGTGGGCTAAGTTTTAACCAAATAGGACTTACACTTCTCTCCTCATTCATTCCACACTTAGCCCCCTGAAAAGTGACTAGGTGCTAGCAAGACTAGACCTGTACCTCAGAGTTAAGATGTGCATTAAATTTGTAGCCACACTACACATGAAATTTAATATCCAAAGACTCAGACTCCAAAGTACTGGCTCCACAAGTCACTTAACCTCTCTGTGTCTTAGCTCCATGTCACCTGTAAAATAGGGTTGGTAATACCTCTTTCATGCATTGTTTTGATGGTTGCAGGGAGGGAGAGAGAAAGGGTTTTGTAAATGGCAAGGAACTCGCTTAATATTATCAAAATTTTTATAATAAAAGAATATAGAACCATGTGTCAGAGTGTTCGATAATAGTATTTTGATAAATATCCTTCAAAAAGTTTAAATATTAACTTATAATTCAATTGCTTATTATATAGTATCATTTGGGTGATGTATAGGTATCCTATAGTGAATGCCTTCCTCGTTTTCTAAATTCATTTCTCCTACTGGATATAGAACCAGTTCTTTGAGAAAACTGCTTCTTTCCCATGCCAATCACAGCCCTTGACCATGCAGGGTAGGGAATGTTAACCCATGCCAGACAATCCAAGACCTTACCCATGATATTCTACTAACAAGTTGGTGGAAAAGAGTTATTTTTTGTCTCTGATTGTTCAGCTTTAAATCAGAGCTGCTGTAGCCCATCCCCAGGAGGAGAGAATGAAACCAACGCACAGGCAGATACAAGGGAATAGGCAGAGAAGAGTGGCTCTGAGAGAAGCCCAAGTCCTCAGTGCCAGTTATTCCCAAGATCAAGTCACCCCTCTCTTTCCCAGTTACAGTTAATATAGCCCCTTTTAAGTTTGAATGAGGTTTCTGTAACTTGCAATGAAAAATATGTGTAATATATACATCTCAAACTCATTAGTGCAAAATGAAACACATCTGTCCCCAATCTGGCCCTGTGCTTGTATTTCATTTGCATTGATGACACCACCACTGATCGCATTTTCCAGGCCAGATGCCTGGGTTTCATCGTGGACTCTGTCATATCCCTTGCCCTCTCCCCTACTCCCTCTTGAATTTGATCAATTTTCTTTACTCCTCCCTGGTTCAGGCCACCATTACCTCTCCCCTGGATTACCGCAATGGCTTCATAACTAGTGTCCTTGTCATTAGTCCTCTCTCCTCTATTCCATTCTCCCCTCTCCAGCAAGAGGGATCTTTCTAAGATGAAATTTATCATGTGACTAAGGGGCTTCTGCCCCAGACATTGGGCCTTTATTATGCATTGTGAATTTCTGGGAGGCTTTACTAGACTTAACATCTTCCTAACAGATTTGACCACAGGCTTTATACTCATGAAATATTTCATGGGAATAATGTTCTGCTGAACACAACTGGGGAAATATTCTAGAAGATTTCAAGGGCAACAGTTTACACTGTTACCTCTACTTAAAAAAATTTCTGTATTAGACTTCTTAAAGTTCTTTAGAATGTGTCATCTTAATAATAATGTCTGACATTTATTGAATTCTTATTATAGATCAGGCAATGCTAAATATTTCACATGCATTCTGTTATATAACCTCCAAAACAGCCCTAGAAGTTGCTATTACTATCTGCATTTCATAGATGAGGAATGGAAGCTTAGGTTAATTTGCACACATTCATGCAGGTGATAAATGGGAGAGTTGGGATTTGGAACTAGGATTTCTTGATTCTAAAGCCTGTACTTTTAACTACTAGATCATGTTTTTTATAGCCCTCAG